TGTTGTTGTTGCTGCTGCTGCTGTGCAGCGTAGTGTTCGTAACTTGCCGCGCTGACAGAGCTGCGACGACGATGATGGAAGGCCAAGTCAGCTGGTGAGGCGCCAACTGCCGCGGCAGAGCCATAGTGCGCATGCTGCTGCTGCTGCAAATGTGCTAAGTGCTGTTGCTGCTGCTGTTGTTGTTGAAGGTGCACATTGTGTTGCTGTTGCTGATATTTAGCAGTGCTACCTTTCTGCCCGCCCGTTGCAGCGGAAGACTGTTGCTTGCCGCCGCCATATTTGCCTGCACCCACGCCGCCGCTGCCGTATTGGCTATTGGCGGTAGAGAGTGGTGGCGTTATTGGTGATATGGTGGTGTTAGCATTCAAATGTGTTGGCCCCTGGGTAGCGACGGTGATGAGGTTGCTCAAATTGTTTGGCGGCTGTGCCTGTGGTGGCAACGGCGGCAAATGATTGTGGTGCGCGTGTTGTTGGTGGTGCATTTGCATTTGCTGGTGCGCGTGTTGCTGCTGATTCATGTTGTTCATAGATGCCGCTGAGTGTTTGCTGCGCTTCGTCGCCGGAGACGATTGTTGTGGAGCGGAGGACAAATTCAAATCATGCATGTGGGTGGCTGACGACGAGCCAGGGATTTGATGTGCGGCCGCCTTGCGATGTTCCTGATCCTCATTTAGCGCCGAAGTGATAATGCTCTTAAGGCGGTCCTCGAAGTTAGCCACTTTGGGAGACTCCTGTATGCCGGCAGCAGCTGCAGCAGACATTAAGGACTTGCGCGCGCCAGGCAGTTCACATTTCGGCAGCATGCCGACCGCGCTGCGCAAACCGTTACCACTTGCGGAAGGTGATTGCAGCTGCTGCTGTGGCAGCTGTTGCTGGTGTTTGCCTGCAGCTATGGGCGCAGGCATCAGATTGCTATCGGCCACATAAATGGAAACCGATGGTAAATGCTCGCTGCTCGAGCTGCGCGCATGTTGCTTCTTCTTTGACGGCGGCGTTGTCGGCACCTCCTCGTGGTATTGCGCCATATTGTTATTGTTGTGGTGGTGATGGTGCATGTGTGCGGCCTGTGGCGGCACCAGTTGCTTTCCACCAACTTGCGGGCCAGCACCAAGCGCTGCATTGTTGTACGAGTTGCCAACACCGGCAGTTGCTGAAAATTTGCCTGCCTCAATCTGACGACCGGTCTCCAGTATCTTTTGCGCCAATACCTCGGGATTGCTCTCCTCGATCTTGCCTACGTCCGGCACATCGGGCCACTCCTGGGAACGCGTACGATGATCGCGACTACGGCGCGTGCTCCTAGACGAAGCATGCCCTGAAGATTTGCTAGGCGTTGTGGGCGCGCTATGGGACACGGCACCAGCACCTGATGTGCTATTTGATGCCGTCATAGTAGTCAGCTGCAGCGGTTGTGTCGCGCCGCCACCGGTACCTGCTGGTATTAGCGTGGCGGGCATCATTGTTGGCGTTCCGCTTAGCGCTGGCGATGAGGTCGCCAATATCATGTTGGTGCCTTGAGCAAGCAACGCCGCTGCAGTGCGTCGCTCTTCGGCGGCTTTCTCCAGAAGCGCGGCCTCCTTCTCAATGCTCGACACTTGCGCGTACAACTTCTTGCGTTGCGCCAACGTGTTGGCGATCTCCTTCAGAACTAACTCGTGCGCAGCGGTTTCGCTTAACTCACTCACACTGCCAGAAGGCAGTTCCAGTTTGGTGCGTCCATTGGTGCCGCAGGTCTGCTGATAATCCGGCAAATGCTGCAGGTGTTTCTTTAGCATGCGTTTCTGCTCCAACTCACAGACCGTGACCTGCGATTGTATCTTCTTTGCGATGCCCTGCAATTCCTTATGTCGTCCCACGATCTCCTTCGCCTTTGTTATCAGATCATTCGGTGAGGTCACATTGATGCCTAGCTCATTCATGCGCGCCTTTAGCAGCATCACACTATCATCGATTAGCACCTTAATCTGCTTGTCCAGCTGGCAGGCACGATTCTTAATGCGCTGTTTGCGCTCCTGCTCCAGCTGTATTTGACGTTTTATATTCGGCACAAACGACCTCGCCTTCATCTGATCTATCATTGCCATGTATTGCGAACGGAAGACATCCAATAGAATCTGCAATGCATACGGTGTATCCTGGGGCGCCTCCGGTATTTCCAACTCCGTGTGCGACATGTTACGCGTCAACAACGACGTCAGCTGTTGGTCCACACAGCCTGGTGCCGCTGGCAATTTCTTGCTCAGCACCTCGTGTGACGTGCTCAACAGCGTCTGCTTGTGCAGCACATCCAGCCCGGCGATCTTCAGTGATTTGCGTCCGCGCGCACCCTTCTTCATGCGGCCCTTGCGACCACGTACGCCGCCGCCGCCACCACCACTGCCAGCGCCACCATCCTCCTTCGACGAAGAGTCTTTGCTGTTCGCCGTAGCGGCTGCAATAGCGGCCGCTTGTGCTGCCGCCTCGCGTGCAGCGGCCGCTTCACGTTGGGCCGCCGCAGCAGCAGCGCTCTTGCTTGCAATTGCCGCCTTGCGCGTAAGCTTCTTGCGCTTCTTCTGCGTGACGGTGGTGCGTACGTTACGCGCCGTCGTCGTTGTCGTCGTCGTGGCGCTGCTAAAATTATTATTATTGTTCTCCTCATCATCGGACTGCGACGACTTGCCCTTCGAGCTGCTGCACCAGTCGGACCAGATCTTGCGTGTGGCCCCCCGGTTACTGTTGGCGGTGCCGCCAGTTGTGCTGCCATTCGCCGCTTCGCCTTCGCTTTCGGTCGACGTGTCCATGTCCATGTTGCTGTTACTGTTGTTATTATTGCGATGCGCCTGGGCTTGCTGTTGTTCGCGTTGTTGTTGATTTCGAGTGGCCTTGGACGACGTCGTCATGGAAGTTGTTGTCGCCGACGATGCTGTCGTCGCCGTCGCCGCTGCTGTTGCCGTTGACTGATTGTGGTTGCTATTGTTGTTGTTAATATGAGCCGCGGGCGAATTGGTGCGTTGCGTGTTGCTGTTGGAGCAGTTCGAAGATGACGAGTTGGCAGCGGAGGAGCTAGAGTGCGCGTTGTTGCTGTTGCTGTTGCTGTTGTTTTGGTTTTGGTTATGATGGTGATGATTGTTGAGTGCGTGATTGTTAGCCTCACGTTTGGCACGATCGCGTGTGGTACGCGTGGAACCTGGAAGAAGGAAGAAGAGGAGAGAAAATGAGAATTTGATTAGTTAAAGGGACGAAAGAAATGTTTCGGGGTAGGGGAAGGCGCCAACGACGTTTTGCGCAAAATCGGTACACAACATAAATAATTGGTCTCGCCTTTTGGGATACACAGAATTAACAAAAAAATAAAAATAAAGTAGAAACATATTTTTTTT